GCCCATTTCTAGTGTCCCCTGCTGTGAAATTGCTGGAATATTGCTAAAAGCGGCGTTAAGCCATACTAGCTCACTCACTCCTTGCCCATATCTTCCCAGGTCGCCATGCTATAAGTGCAACAAGAGCTCCACGTCCGCTGATCGAGGTACTTTACACTGCAAATTAGAATGGCTGCGTGAGAGAGTGATTTCGTAACGATATTCGGGGTTTCAGATTTCAGTTTGGTGCCGTTACTTTTTGTTCGCCAGCTTATTAAATGGTATCTTTCTTATGAATATCATCAACAATCTTGGTAATTGAAAAATACTCTCTTCCAGCAGTTGAGCGTACAAACAAGTCAAGATGACCAGTTTTCTGTGAGTTAAAAAAATATAATGTGGTGAAAAATTAACGACGAAATATACGATGTAGAATACTATATTATAGTCCAATCTTGAATGTAAAGCTAGTTCTTCATATAGCGTTTCCAACAGATGTGCAGAAGTAAAACTTTCTAATGTCAAATTAAACATGTGTTTGAACGTTGCTACAGCAAACTAGCATATGCTATCTCGCCATCTTGCATTAATGCGTTAATGATGGGAATGCCTGTAAACTCAACAGGGGTCATCCAATTTAAGGACCCTGAGACGTCGGTAACTTGAAGACTGCGTTTCCTTTGGGGTTTCAGATAGAGCTTTGGTATAGATTGTTCATGTCTGAGACATTTTCGCCTACAGAAGCAATAATAAAGTTTCATTTGATGTGCAAGATACATGAGACATGGCATGGTCACATCATGATCATCACACGAAGATGTCGTCACGTGAACACATCATGGAGTCACCTCACGAACAGATGTTGATGTTGTTGTGGGCTGGGTCTATACTGTGTTAAGATGTAAAGTTAGATTGATCTTCATCCACAAAGTGGGTACATGCAACGTTTGAAGTTATTAGCATTATGTATGGTTGTAGATGTTTTTCTTAGCTGTTCCGTTACCCTGAACTTAAAACAGTCAATGTTTCTAATTCAATATTCATAAGCACAGATATGATCGCAGCTGTGTTTGTAACAAGAGTGTTGTACACCAGTAATGAATAGCATCTCATAAATTACAGGATACAGTTTCACTCGTTATTTGTAATACCAATATTACATCAACTCTAAGATACATTATGCCGTCAATCTATTATTCTATTCAATATTTATAAATAATTACATTACTACTTGTTACATGTCACCTTCTTAGCTAGACCTTGGTTCCTGTTATACACAAAAACTCCAGTACTACAAACTCAATATGCCCACTTAAGCTCTTTTACAGGGTTTTAGCATGTTGATTTTTTCCTGACTGTTTTCTAACACACAACACAATGCAATGACCAGCTGCTGACAAGGCATTGCCTGACACTCACATCAGAAACTGAAGGCCTTGTCTCACCTCCACATCAGAAACTGAAGGCCTTATCTGACACACGCACACACACATCAGAAACTGAAGGCATTGCCTGACACACACATCAGAAACTGAAGGCCTTGTCTGACACACACACACATCAGAAACTGAAGGCATTGCCTAACACGTAAAAAACTGAAGGCACTGTCTGACTGATGGCATTGCCTGACACATCAGAACACTGAAGGCACTGTCTGACACACAGACATCAGAAACTGAACGCATTACCTAACACATAAAAAACTGAAGGCACTGTCTGACACACACAACAAACACACACACACACACACATCAGAAACAAACTGAAGGCATTACCTGACACACACACACACACACACATACATACACACACACACATCAGAAACTGAAGGCATTGCCTGACACATCGGAAACTGAAGGCTATATCTGACACACACACACATATCAGAACTGAAGGCATTGCCTGACACGCAAGAAACTGAAAGCACTGTCTGACTGATGGCATTGCCTGACACATTAGAACACTGAAGGCACTGTCTGACACACACACACATCAGAAACTGAAGGCATTGCCTGACACATAAAAAACTGAAGGCACTGTCTGACACACACACACACACACACACACACACACACATCAGAAACAAACTGAAGGCATTTCCTGACACACACACACATCAGAAACTGAAGGCATTGCCTGACACATTGAAACACTGAAGGCACTGTCTGACACACATCAGAAACTAAAGGCATTACCTCTCTCTCTCTCACACACACACACACACACACACACACATCAGAAACTGAAGGCATTGCCTGACACATCAAAAGCTGAAGGCCATATCTGACACACACACACATAGATGAAGGCCATGTCGGACTCATACATCAGTGACTGAAGGCATTGTCTGATACTCACATCATAAACTGAATGCATTGTCTGACACACGCATTTGAAACTGAAGGTATAGTCAGACAATCACATCTGAAACGAGGTGCTTTGACTCAACCACGGATCAGAAACTAAGGGTTTTGCCCAACAAATATATCTGAAATTAAGGTCTCGCTCGCCCGAAACACACTAACATTTGTAAAAAAGAGTCTTGTCTCACACAGACACACACACACAGATACACACAGAGACAGATACATACACAGACAGAGAGGGACACACAGACAGACGGACCCACAGATAGAGAAACAGACACAAAGAGACAGACAAACAGACACACACACATATCTGAAACACATCTGAGGTCAACAGATAACGTAGGATTCTTATTCTCATTTCAGAAGAAAAGTCAATTGATCTGAACTACGCCAGTTGGTGATCTACTCGTTGCACAAAACATCGATACAGATGACATAAATTCAATAAAACTATCTTGGTGTGGACAAGTTCGGCGTGGGCGTTTGCTCTGCAGGTCCTTCAAGGCAGCGACAGAGCTACTTGTGCTGCCCAAACAACATTCGCCCATTTTTGCTTCCCTAATTGACCCACCTGAGGAAGCTCTTATTGCTTGTTACACTTAGAGCTGCGTGTGTGTTTTATCAAGAGAAATAGACTAATTTTATGGGAAACATATTCGCAACTTGTTGTATAAATATTGATCGTGGGGTATGTAAGGTTTGGGTTGCCTCATAAAGGAATCAATGTATCATTTTAATGCTTTTAGACTTAACAATTTATAAACATAACGAAAATGTTAGGGAACGGCTCTTATCGAAAGGTACTGTCACACACCTTTGTGTTGAAGTAGAAGCCCGTCTATCGATAATCAGGAACTGATTTCACACCAGCAACTGAAGGAAAGGTCTCGCCACAAACATAAAACTGAAAGTAATGTTCTTGCCTGGCACATGTGTAACGGAAAGTTATATCTTGCCTTACCAACATATCTGATGCCAAGGGTTTTAATTGCTTGGTGAAACATCAGGAACCCCTTTATACGGTGACAAGGACACCAGAAGCTCATCTCTGTAACACAGGGAATCCTTCCCTAGAACACCGGAACCCCTTGCTGGAGCACTTAAAAACCCTACTCACACACACAAAAACAACAAAAACCCAACAAAAAAACCCAACCAAACATAAAAACACACACACACATACATACATACACACACACACACACGCACACGCACGCACACACAAACAAGGACACCGGGAACCCCACTCAGAAGCATCGGAAGCCCATCTCTGAAACAAAGGGAATCCCCAATCTAGGCGGGAACCCCTCTGTGGAACACTGGTAACCTCTTTCCATGTCATCAAGAACACATCTGGAACACAAGGACGAGTGTCTGGGGCACAGGTCATCACTTTCTGTATCTGGAACACAAGGACGACTGTCTGGAACACAGGTCATCACTTTCTGTACCTGGAACACAAGGGGACTTATTATTAAGGAAGATTAATTTGAACCACGTTTAAGGGGAGACCAGGTCTACGAAAACCGGGTTCTTTGGTCTATGTTAAAATATAATTGATCCGTTTAACATGTTTTAAACATTTATCCTCTTTGTTAAGATTCTGTGGTGTGAGACTGCAAAGCGCTAATTGATGATGGAAAAGAGCTTTTGAACGGAAGATTGTGTAATTTGATAATCTTTATTAATCAATGTACGAAGTAAGTACGCCGAAGTGTTCTCATTTCTGGTACAATTGTTTCAGCATACAGTAAATGGACACATATATGCCCATACTCTAGTTTGTCTCATAATATCAACTCTCATGTTGAGTAAGTAATATGTTCGATGTGGTTAGACTGCTGAGATGTTTAGCTCATGTTGAGAGCTGAAACCGAATAATTTGTGTCATTGGGTTGTTACTTTCAAGTTAGTATGCCGAGGTGTATTGTTGTACATTAATTTGTTCCACACGCAGGTAGTGGAAATAAATGTGTATCTGTGTTAATGGTACCTGCTAGTCACTGAAAGAGTAATGTTTGCTTTACTTCACAATAAATCACCACAGTGTTCCATGCATCTGAATTTTGGGTTATATTTCTACAAACCAGGTGTAAACTTCGTACACGATCCCGACGAGAACCGAATTTTGCCGACATTAAACCTTTTTCGAAAATACCAAAATCGTCAGGGATGGTCTCTACACCTTGGTTTAAACTACTATCATTGACAAACCTGCTTCTGTAATACGAGCCGTAGTTTAAACCCACGCTAAACTGGGACTTGGTGTAAAACTAGGTCTAAACCGTGGACACGTTTTGTAGCCTGCGTCATTCTAAGTCGTAGTAACAATGAAAACGTGATTATACATCTAACGTGCTGGGTTATCCGGTCCCAACGTTACCATTTCAGCCGTGAAAAAAGTAAATGTTAAGATCGTGTTGAAAGATGTTTACCTCACTAAGCGTTAAACCTGGGGAATTCATTTATCATTAGCAAACCCAAAGGGCATGTGCAAATAATTAAAATGGTTTGTGTTTATAGGTATGTCAATCGACAGGAGTAGCGATACTGTTGCGTAAGGGAGACCTGTACAGGGTTACCAATCCATGTAAGCTTCAACAGTCGAGTAGAATAGAAACAGGAGCCGAATGGCATTTAGTAACAAGAGTTTCATTGCAAGTTATAATTGTAACACAGCATTGACTTTATCTGCACTGGCAGGGATGGCAAGTAGGGGATTATTAGGAAGGCTGGGGGCTTGAGAGTGGTTGGGGAGGGGATGGAGGAAAGGGGAATAGACAAACTATGGATAATCAGGTGTATCTGGGCAGCGGAGTAGCGGGAGTAGGGTACGGGAGCGGAGAAGCGGGAGTAGGGTACGGGAGCGGGGTAGCAGGGAGTAGGGTACAGGGGGCGGGCAGCGGGAGTAGGGTACAGGAGCGTGGGGTAGCGGGGTAGCTTGAGGGAGTGGGGTGCACGGGAGCGGAGTAGCAGGAGTAGGGGACAGGAGCAGGGTAGTGGGACTAGGGGACAGGAGCAGGGGTAGGGGAGTAGGGTACAGGGAGGCGGCAGAGGAGTAGGGTACAGGAGCAGGGTAGCGAGCAGGTAGGGTACAGGAGGCAGGGGTAGCACAAGCCTAAAGTAGGGTACAGGAGCGAAGTAGCAGGGAGTAGGGTGCAGGGAGAGGGGTAGCGGAGTAGGGTACAGGAGCAGGGTTGCAGGGTGCTTGGGAGTAGGGTACAGGGGGCAGGGTAGCGGGGAGTAGGGTACAGGAGCGGAGTAGGGGAGTAGGGTACAGGAGAGGGGTAGCCGCAAGTAGGGTGCAGGAGCGGAGTAAGCATGAGTAGGGTACAGGAGCAGGGTAGCAGGGAGCAGGAAGTGAGGAACAGGCAGGGTAGCGGGAGTAGGGTACCACGGGAGCGGAGTAGTGGGAGTAGGAGGTACAGGGCAGGTAGACTGGGAGTAGGGGTACAGGAAGCAGGGGTACATAAAATGGGTAGCGGGAGGAGGGTACAGGAGCAGGGTAGCAGGAGTAGGAGTACAGGAGCGGGGTAGCAGGAATAGGGTACAGGAGAGGAGTAATAGCGAGTAGGGTGGAAAGCAGGAGCAGGGTAGCAAAAGGATTAGGAACAGGAGCAGGAGTAGCGGGAGTAGGGTACGGGAGCGGAGTAGCTTGGGAGTAGGGTACAGGAGCAGGGTAGCGGAAGTAGGAGGTACGGAGCAGCTAAGCAAGGGATTATCCCGGACGCTGCAGGACTTGGTTCTGTAATGTCCTGTGTTGTTGGCAAGTGTATGTCTAGTACTAGTAGATTTCTGTAATGTCCATTTCTGTGTGTTGTTGGCAAGAGTATACTCTAGTACTAGTAGATTTCTGTAATGTCCTGTGTTGTTGGCAAGAGTATACTCTAGTACTGTAAGTAGATTTCTGTAATGTCCTGTGTTGTTGGCAAGAGTATACTCTAGTACTAGTAGATTTCTGTAATGTCCTGTGTTGTTGGCAAGAGTATACTCTAGTACTAGTAGATTTCTGTATGTCCTGTGTTGTTGTTGGCAAGAGTATACTCTAGTACTAGTAGATTTCTGTAATGTCCTGTGTTGTTGGCAAGAGTATACTCTAGTACCTGTAATGTGTTGTTGGCAAGAGTATACTCTAGTACTAGTAGATTTCTGTAATGTCCTGTGTTGTTGGCAAGAGTATACTCTAGTACTAGTAGATTTCTGTAATGTCCTGTGTTGTTGGCAAGAGTATACTCTAGTACTAGTAGATTTCTGTAATGTCCTGTGTTGTTGGCAAGAGTATACTCTAGTACTAGTAGATTTCTGTAATGTCCTGTGTTGTTGGCAAGAGTAGATTTGTCTCTGTGTTGTTAGTAGTATTAGTAGATTTCTGTAATGTCCTGTGTTGTTGGCAAGAGTATACTCTAGTACTAGTAGATTTCTGTAATGTCCTGTGTTGTTGGCAAGAGTATACTCTAGTACTAGTAGATTTCTGTATGTCCTGTGTTGTTGGCAAGAGTATACTCTAGTACTAGTAGATTTCTGTAATGTCCTGTGTTGTTGGCAAGAGTATACTCTAGTACTAGTAGATTTCTGTAATGTCCTGTGTTGTTGGCAAGAGTATACTCTAGTACTAGTAGATTTCTGTATGTCCTGTGTTGTTGGCAAGAGTATACTCTAGTACTAGTAGATTTCTGTAATGTCCTGTGTTGTTGGCAAGAGTATACTCTCTAGCTAGTAATGTCCTGTGTTGTTGTGTACTTGATTTCTGGTCCAAGAGTATACTCTAGTACTAGTAGATTTCTGTAATGTCCTGTGTTGTTGGCAAGAGTATACTCTAGTACTAGTAGATTTCTAGTAGATTTCTGTATTCCTGTGTTGTTGGCAAGATGTCTAGTACTAGTAGATTTCTGTAATGTCCTGTGTTGTTGGCAAGAGTATACTCTAGTACTAGTAGATTTCTGTATGTCCTGTGTTGTTGGCAAGAGTATACTCTAGTACTAGTAGATTTCTGTAATGTCCTGTGTTGTTGGCAAGAGTATACTCTAGTACTAGTAGATTTCTGTATGTCCTGTGTTGTTGGCAAGAGTATACTCTAGTACTAGTAGATTTCTGTAATGTCCTGTGTTGTTGGCAAGAGTATACTCTAGTACTAGTAGATTTCTGTATGTCCTGTGTTGTTGGCAAGAGTATACTCTAGTACTAGTAGATTTCTGTAATGTCCTGTGTTGTTGGCAAGAGTATACTCTAGTACTAGTAGATTTCTGTATGTCCTGTGTTGTTGGCAAGAGTATACTCTAGTACTAGTAGATTTCTGTAATGTCCTGTGTGTTGTTGGCAAGAGTATACTCTAGTACTAGTAGATTTCTGTGGCAAGAGTATGTCCTGTGTTGTTGGCAAGAGTATACTCTAGTACTAGTAGATTTCTGTAATGTCCTGTGTTGTTGGCAAGAGTATACTCTAGTACTAGTAGATTTCTGTATGTCCTGTGTTGTTGGCAAGAGTATACTCTAGTACTAGTAGATTTCTGTATGTCCTGTGTTGTTGGCAAGAGTATACTCTAGTACTAGTAGATTTCTGTATGTCCTGTGTTGTTGGCAAGAGTATACTCTAGTACTAGTAGATTTCTGTATGTCCTGTGTTGTTGGCAAGAGTATACTCTAGTACTAGTAGATTTCTGTAATGTCCTGTGTTGTTGGCAAGAGTATACTCTAGTACTAGTAGATTTCTGTATGTCCTGTGTTGTTGGCAAGAGTCTCTAGTACTGTGTAGATTTCTGTAATGTCCTGTGTTGTTGGCAAGAGTAGTACTAGTATAGATTTCTAGTACATTTCTGTAATGTCCTGTGTTGTTGGCAAGAGTATACTCTAGTACTAGTACATTTCTGTAATGTCCTGTGTTGTTGGCAAGAGTATACTCTAGTACTAGTAGATTTCTGTAATGTCCTGTGTTGTTGGCAAGAGTATACTCTAGTACTAGTACATTTCTGTATGTCCTGTGTTGTTGGCAAGAGTATACTCTAGTACTAGTACATTTCTGTATGTCCTGTGTTGTTGGCAAGAGTATACTCTAGTACTAGTACATTTCTGTATGTCCTGTGTTGTTGGCAAGAGTATACTTTAGTACTAGTAGATTTCTTCTACAGGGAGTCTTCATGTCACAGGCCTAGCAAAGACAGTGAGTCTTCATGTCACAGGCCTAGCAAAGACAGTGAGTCTTCATGTCACGGGTCGAGCAAAGACAGGGAGTCTTCACGTCACAGGTCGAGCAAAGACAGTGAGTCTTCATGTCACAGGTCGAGCAAAGACAGTGAGTCTTCATGTCACAGGTCGAGCAAAGACAGTGAGTCTTCATGTCACAGGCCAAGGAAAGACAGTGAGTCTGCACCGTCACAGGCCTAGCAAAGACAGGGAGTCTTCACGTAACGGGCCGAGCAAAGACTGTGAGTCTTCACGTCACAGGTCGAGCAAAGACAGTGAGTCTTCATGACAGAGTCCGAGCAAAGACAGTGAGTCTTCATGTCACAGGCCGAGCAAAGACATGGAGTCTTCATGTCACAGGTCGAGCAAAGACAGTGAGTCTTCACGTCACAGGCCGAGCAAACACAGTGAGCCTTCACGTCACAGCCCAAGGAAAGACAGTGAGTCTTCATGTCACAGGTCGAGCAAAGACAGTGAGTCTTCATGTCACAGGCCAAGGAAAGACAGAGAGTCTGCACCGTCACAGGTCGAGCAAAGACAGTGAGTCTTCATGTCACATGCCGAGCAAAGAGAGTGAGTCTTCATGTCACAGGTCGAGCAAAGACAGTGAGTCTTCATGTCACAGGTCGAGCAAAGACAGTGAGTCTTCATGTCACAGGTCGAGCAAAGACAGTGAGTCTTCATGTCACAGGCCGAGCAAAGACAGTGAGTCTTCATGTCACAGGCCAAGCAAAGACAGTGAGTCTTCATGTCACAGGCCGAGCAAAGACAGTGAGTCTTCACGTCACATGAGTCGAGCAAAGCAGTGAGTCTTCATGTCAGCAGCAAAAAGACAGTGAGTCTTCACGTCACAGGCCAGGTCGAGCAAAGACAGTGAGTCTTTCACAGGTCGAGCAAAGGTCTTCATGTCACAGGTCGAGCAAAGACAGTGAGTCTTCACGTCACAGGCCGAGCAAAGACAGTGAGTCTTCACGTCACAGTGAGCCTTCACGTCACAGCAAGAAAAGACAGTGAGTCTTCATGTCACAGGTCGAGCAAAGACAGTGAGTCTTCTTCATGACAGAGTGTTCCGAGCAAAGTTCATGTCACAGGCCTAGCAGTGAGTCTTCACGTCACATGCCGAGCAAAGACATGGAGTCTTCACGTAACAGGGCCGAGCAAAGACAGTGAGTCTTCACGTCACAGGTCGAGAGCAAAGACAGTCCGAGGGAGTCTTCACGTCACATGCCGAGCAAAGACAGTGAGCCTTCACGTCACAGCCCAAGGAAAGACAGTGAGTCTTCATGTCACATGCCGAGCAAAGAGAGTGAGTCTTCATGTCACAGGCCAAGGAAAGACAGTGAATCTTCATGTCACAGGCCGAGCAAAGACAGTGAGTCGTCATGTCACAGGCCGAGCAAAGACAGTGAGTCTTCATGTCACAGGCCGAGCAAAGATCAAGAAGTCCTCACAACGCTTGTTGGTCAAACATCTAGGGTAATGACCGATATGCCTGTCTTCACAACGACACGAGTAAGACAAAGATAAAGATTTGTTTACAGCCATACATGTTAACCAAAGACAACTTTACCATGTTGCAAATATAAGCGTAACTGTCACATGCAGACACAGACACACAACGTAATACGTACAGCAAAAAGACGTTTCACTTGTAGGGAAAACACTCAGATCTCTTCACATGCAGAGCAGCTGCACAGATGTCTTAACATAGCGCAACTTCTATTCTCACGAAATGTGCACCAACTGTTAACTGAAAACTTAAAATTCTTTTTTTAAATGATAAGTCATTTTATTGTTAGAAAAATCATTTATTGTTCCCAAAATTCAAACTATCAAAAGGCAAATGTCAAGGACAAAACGAAGATCGCCAATCATGAATGGGTACTTATGACTGGGTGAACTTATTTGCATAAATTGATCATCAAACTTACTATACAGGTGTGTTTTTTAAAACTAAGTGTTACTGGGAATATATTTTATATAAGTTTTATCTGCATTATATTGTGATAAACAACAAAACTTGGCCATTATATAATTGAACTAGAAACTTTGTAATCTAAATGTTGCTATACTATTACACAGAGTCACATTAAAAGATACAAAAGTGATTAACTGTTTCTTGTTATATTAATTATTTAAAGTACAGGCAATGTAAAAGCACACTGAAAATTCATCCAAACTCTTATCACGTTACCCGTTTAGCTTGATGTAGAATATCAACAATGTTAAGCCAATTAAAAGTAAATATTAATGAACCATTTAACGTTTAGAAGAGTTCATGCCATAACTTTA